AGAAGAGACTTGCTTGGGCCAAGAAGCACGAGCAATGGACGAGCGGTGGAAATCTGTCCTTTGGTCTGATGAGTCCACATTTGAGATTTCTGGCTCCAACCGCTGTGTCTTTGTGAAATGCAGAGTAGGTGAACGGATCATCTCCACATGTGTGGTTTCCACCGTGAAGCATGGAGGAGGAGGTGTGATGGTGTGGGGGTGCTTTGCTGGAGACACTGTCTGTGATTTATTTAGAATTCAAGGCACACTTAAACAGCATGGCTACCACAGCATTCTGCAGCGAGACGCCATCCCATCTGGTTTGCGCTTAGTGGGACTATCATTTGTTTTTCAACAGGACAATGACCCAAAACACACCTCCAGGCTGTGTAAGGGCTATTTGACCAAGGATAGTGATGGAGTGCTGCATCAGATGACCTGGCCTCCACAATCACCCGACCTCAACCCAATTGAGATGGTTTGGGATGAGTTGATCCGGAGAGTGAAGGAAAAGCAGCTAACAAGTGCTCAGCATATGTGGGAACTCCTTCAAGACTGTTGGAAAAGCATTCTTCATGAAGCTGGTTGAGAGAATGCCAAGAGTGTGCAAAGCTGTCATCAAGGCAAAGGGTGGCTATTTGAAGAATCTAAAATCTAAAATATATTTTGATTTGCTTAACACTTTGTTGGTTACTACATGATTGCAAATGTGTTATTTCATAGTTTTTATGTCTTCACTATTATTCTACAATGTAGAAAATGGTTTTAGAAAATAAAGAAAAACCCTTGAATGAGTAGGTGTCCAAACTTTTGACTGGTACTGTACATGTAGTTAGAGTTAAAGTGACTATGCATAGATAATAAACAGAGAGTAAAAGAGGGGGTGGGTGGGGTGGGGGGACAATGCAAATAGCCTGGGTAGTCATTTGATTAGCTGTTCAGGAGTCTTACGGCTTGGGGGTAGAAGCTGTTAAGAAGCCTTTTGGACCTAGACCTGGCACTCCGGTACTGCTTGCTGTGCAGTAGCAGAGAGAACAGTCTATGACTAGAGTGGCTGGAGTCTTTGACAATTTTTAGGGCCTTCCTTTGACACCGCCTGGTATAGAGGTCCTGGATGGCAGGAAGCTTGGCACCGGTGATGTACTGGGCTGTACATGCTACCCTCTGTAGTGCCTTGCGGTCGGAGGCTGAGCAGTTGCCATACCAGGGGTGATGCAACCAGTCAGGATGCTCTCGATGGTGCAGCTATATAACTTTTTGAGGATCTGAGGACTCATGCCAAATATTTTCTGTCTCCTGAGGGGGAATAGACTTTGTCATGCCCTCTTCACGATTGTCTTGGTGTGTTTGGACCATGATAGTTTGTTGGTGATGTGGACACCTGACCTTTTTTTGAGCATATACAACTTTTTTATTAGGTCATTGTTGAGGAGGAAAGAAAGCTACTACTGTAGTCTAGGTTCACATGCCCAAGTACCACATTGATTCACAAGAGGGCAGCATGTGGCTGTGTATGTAACACAGATTCCATGAGTAGAATGCTGCAGATGCTGGAGTAAGAGTTTAGGGAATTTTGTTGTTCTCAACAGCTATAAAATATAAAACTTCCACAGCATCCTCTTCCCCAACATAAAGTGGTTGAATTATAACCCCAATGAAAACATCTCGATGTGTGATAGTTAGAACCCACTGGGCACAGACGTCAATTCAACGTCTATTTCACGTTAGTTCAACGTAATTTCATTGAAATTACGTGGAAACAGCATTTGATTGAACCAGTGTGTGGCCAGTGGGAAGTTGTTTTGTAATTATAACTCAGAAACTATTGGCTTGCAAGCAATGATACCCAATGAGAAGTTTTGTTTGTCATAGGGCAAGATATGAGGTTGGCAATGGGAAAACCATATTTTCCTTTAGATTAATCCAGTTTTGTGACTAAGGGATTATTTCCAACCCGAATCCATGAGACACAACTTCTGACTGGGACATGATTTTGACTGAGGCAGCTGGATGTGGGTAACAACTGGCTTTGTTCTTGGCATGAGGTCTCTCCACATACACTACACACGTACCTTTGCATAGTTATTTTTGCTATTTTGGGTGTGAAAGTATGTGCATGTGCATGTTACTTGAATAGAACTTCATTAGAGTAACACAATTTTTATAGCAGGGAGGTTATTTCAGTTTAGTGGCTCAAGGACTACAAATGAGGGTATTTCTTTCTCCGCTGAGGATTTTCAGAAGTTACGTACAGGCCCACTACATTCAAATCGATCTGCAGTCCCATCTATTAAAAACCTGAACAATAGAAAAAGGCTGTGTGTGTATGTGTTTGTGTGAATGGGTGTGTGAGTGTGGGTGTCTGTAGAACTATGTGCGTGCATTGTCGGTTGGGGTAATGCCATAGGTTCTCGGCCCCTCCCCACCCCCCTCCCACACACACAACCCCTGGCTGTGGGGTACTTCGCACCTTGTCCTGTTATTCAGTGGCAACATTAGCACCTCCCTTGTCATGTGTCTCCACAGTGCTGCTGTTGATCACTCACACACAGCAAGGGTGGACCCTGACTCATTGTTAAGGTTCAAAGGTGTCTACTGGCGTGAACGACGGATTAGGGGATTATCCCCCATTTACCTTTTGATTGACTACAGGGGAGTAATGGGAACACTCATGTGACAATGAGTAATGCAGAACGGGGCTGCTCAAGGCCCTAGAACAATACTATTGGAATTTGTGACTTATTGATGTCATAGGCTGAAAAGCATGCTCTTCAGACTGCTATTGTTGGAGGGATCTAAACTTTTCAGAGGGGTATTGAAGGAAAAAGAGATGTTGGTGGTCAGATCCCCATTTAACCGTAAAAAAAAAAAAAGGATTTGTCACATGCGCCGAATATAACAGGTGTAGTAGACCGTACAGTGAAATGCTTACTTATAAGCCCTTAACCAACAATGCAGAGTAAGAAAATATTTACTAAATAAACTAAAGTAAAAAAAAGAAGTAACACTATTAATTAACAATAACGAGGCTATATACAGGGGGAACCGGTACCGAGTAAATGTACGGGTTAGTCAAGGTAATTGAGGTAATATGTACATATAGGTAGGGGTAAAGTGACTATGCATAGATAATAAACAGCGAGTAGCAGAGCAGCGTATAAAAGGGGATCAGTGTTTAGTCCACTGTAGTGTTTGAGATGGTTTTGAGCTCAGGAGCAGAGCAGTAGGGAATCCTGGGATGGCCCCACAACAGGGGGGATGCCACTGGATGCCAGGCCTGAGGCCTCTTGCAGTAAAGGGAAAGGGGGGCACAGACCCAGCAGGAGTCAATGTGGTGCCAAGAAGTCATCAACCATCCCTAACTGTCACATTACATTTAGTCATTTAGCAGACGCTCTTATCCAGAGCGACTTACAGTTAGTGAGTGCATACATATTTTTTTTTTCATACTGGCCCCCCGTGGGAATCGAACCCACAACCCTGGCGTTGCAAACGCCATGCTCTACCAACTGACTCCTGAGTGGCGCAGTGGTCTAAGGCACTGCATCGCAGTGCTAACTGTGCCACTAGAGATCCTGGTTCGAATCCAGGCTCTGTCGCAGCCGGCCGCGACCGGGAGACTCATGGGCGGCGCACAATTGGCCCAGCGTCGTCCAGGGTAGGGGAGGGAATGGCCGGCAGGGATGTAGCTCAGTTGATAGAGCATGGCGTTTGCAACGCCAGGGTTGTGGGTTCATTTCCCACGGGGGGCCAGTATAAAAAAATATGTATTCACTAACTGTAAGTCGCTCTGGATAAGAGCGTCTGCTAAATGACTAAAATGTAAAAATGTAAACTGAGCTACATCCCTGCTGGCCATTCCCTCCCCTACCCTGGACGACGCTGGGCCAATTGTGCGCCGCCCCATGGGTCTCCCGGTCACGGCCAGCTACGACAGAGCCTGGATACGAACCAGGATCTCTAGTGGCACAGCTAGCACTGCGATGCAGTGCCTTAGACCACTGAGCCACTCAGGAGATATGCTTCACTTGCTTTTCAAAATTATGCTGGAGTGGAATCTTTGACTCTGGATAGACCTATTGGAAACAGGTGCTTTCAGCTATTGTAACTTTTACTTATATTTGTGTCATTTTGTGTGTGTGGGTGTGTGTGAGTGCATAGGTGTGTGTGCCTGTGTGTTTATGCAGACCCTTACAAAAAAAGTTTGCATGTTTTGAAACTGCAGTTAAAGCGCAGTAACTGCAGTCGACTGTGGTATTTTGGATGCAGTAATTGCAGAATAACTGCAGTTATACTGCACTGTAACTGCAGTTACACTGCAAAATTACTGTAGTAAAAAAAACAGTTATTTTGGAAGCAGTATTTGCAATATACTGCAGTTAGACTGCACTTTAACTGCAGTTATAATGCACTCTGACTGCAATCGTTTTTCGAAGGGGAGCTATAAGACAATGTAAATATTGTCTATATGAAAGGCTTAAATTAGATAAACCTGTGGTGATAATGATACACTGCTTGCACACCAGCCTGCAAGTTTACCAGGTGCACAATTTAGCAAACGACTGACTTCTTGTCTTAGTTAGGCGACTAGTCATAATTCCACCAGTTTATCAACTGTTGCACGTGTTATAATCATGTCCAAACAAAGGTTTGATAGGACAATAAAGGTTTTAAACGGTTATCGCGGGTAACTTTGTCCCCAACCATTATATTAGCAAGATAGAGGTGCAAAAATGTCGTCGTCCGCCGCCGCCGCCATAGGGAAATCCCATGCCAAAGCCCACCGACCCCTCCCCTCAAATACTGCAACTCAGTAAAGTCCGGTGGCAAGAGGGGGGGCTTGCCTGACATTGCGGTGCGCACCAAAGCTGATGATGCTTGGCTGATGTTTGATTCAGCTTTTAAGGTAGGCAATCAGGGTCGAAGCTCGCTCTCCAATGCATGTGGACTTGGGACAGTCATTTTAGATAGCATTTCTCAATCTTTGTATCAATCAATTAAATACACGCATTCATTTGAAAATGGTGACTTTATTGCATCGACGTGCGTCGGCGCTGCTGCTTGCGTGGGGTTATTGTATTTTGGCTGAGACAACTTTTTCTAACATCACTCTGGATAACGAGGTACACTCCAGCTTCATCCAGCGCCGTCTGAGGAGCCAGGAGCGCCGGGAGATGCAGCGGGAAATCCTCTCCATCCTGGGGCTGCCCCACCGGCCCCGACCGCACATCTACACCAAACAAAACGCAGCCCCGATGTTCATGCTGGATTTGTACAACGCTATTTCCACCGACAGACAACAGCCCGCAGGCTTTTCATATTATAAACCCGTCTTCACGACCCAGGGGCCCCGGATGGTGACCCAGCAAGACAGCATTTTCCTCAATGACGCGGATATGGTGATGAGCTTTGTCAATCTTGGTACGTCCTCCCTATCACCCTATCCAGAGACGTATCCATTAATTTCGATGTATATTACTTGATAAGTTATTGTTTAGCCTACATGATATAAAACAGCTCAAGCGATTGCTCACTTTATTTTTAAAAGCTAAACGTTTTTTATTTCACCTTTGCGCAAGCGATGACGCAGTCTTGACAGAAGCGCTCTTATCTTACAATACCTTCTTTAAATCGTTTTTTACTCAACACATCTCACATGAACATGACCTAAACACAAAAATTAAACAGCTGTTTGTTTAGGTTTACTCTGATTCATCTGACACTGCACTGTAATGCTAATACACTCCTTATGCTTACTTTGACTCATTCAGTGTCTCAATGTCTCATACACTTAGAAAAAAGGGTTCTCTGGCCGTCCCCATAGGATAACCATTTTTGGTTCCTGGTAGAACCCTCTGTGGAAAGGGTTTTACATGGAACCCAAAAGGTTCTACCTGTAACCAAACTACTATGGGGACAGCCAAATAACCAAATGCCTTCTACTCAGTGGAAAACCGTTTTCCATTTTAACAACACTTCCTACCATGGTTTCTCTTTGGACCTCTCTGGTCTGTAGGACTTTTAAAAATAATAATATATATTTCACCTTTATTTAACCAGGTAAGCCAGTTGAGAACAAGTTCTCATTTACAACTGGCCAAGATAAAGCAAAGCAGTGCGATAAAAACAACAACACAGAGTTACATATGGGGTAAAACAAAACATAAAGCCAAAAATACAACAGAAAATATATATACAGTGTGTGCAAATGTAGCAAGTTATGGAGGTAAGGCAATAAATAGGCCATGGTACAACATAATTACAATCAGTATTAACACTGGAATGATAGATGTGCAAGAGATGATGTGCAAATAGAGATATTGGGGTGCAAATGAGCAAAATAAATAACACATGGGGATGAGGTAGTTGGGTGGGATAATTACAGATGGGCTGTGTACAGGTGCAGTGATCGGTAAGGTGCTCTGACAACTGATGCTTAAAGTTAGTGAGGGAGATAAGTCTCCAGCTTCAGAGATTTTTGCAGTTCGTTCCAGTCATGGCGGCCAAAGGAGGTGTTGGCTTTGGGGATGACCAGTGAGATATACCTGCTGGAGCACATACTACGGGTGGGTGTTGCTATGGTGACCAATGAGCTAAAATAAGGCGGGGATTTGCCTAGCAGTGATTTATAGATGGCCTGGAGCCAGTGGGTTTGGCGACTAATATGTAGTGAGGACCAGCCAACAAGAGCGTACAGGTCACAGTGGTGGGTAGTATATGGTGCTTTGGTGACAAAACGGATGGCACTGTGATAGACTACATCCAATTTGCTGAGTAGAGTGTTGGAGGCTATTTTGTAAATGACATCGCCGAAGTCAAGGATCGGTAGGAAAGTCAGTTTTACGAGGGCATGTTTGGCAGCATGAGTGAAGGAGGCTTTGTTGCGAAATAGGAAGCCGATTCTGGATTTAACTTTGGATTGGAGATGCTTAGTGTGAGTCTGGAAGGAGAGTTTATAGTCTAACCAGACACCTAGGTATTTGTAGTTGTCCACATACTCTAGGTCAGAACCGTCGAGAGTAGTGATTCTAGTCGGGTGGGCGGGTGCCAGCAGTGTTCGATTGAAGAGCATGCATTTAGTTTTACTTATGTTTAAGAGCAGTTGGAGGCTACGGAAGGAGTGTTGTATGGCATTGAAGCTCGTTTGGAGGTTTGTTAACACAGTATCCAATGAAGGGCCAGATGTATACAAAACGTTGTCTGCGTAGAGGTGGATCTGAGAATCACCAGTAGCAAGAGCGACATCATTGAGATACACAGAGAAAAGAGTCGGCCCAAGAATTGAACCCTGTGGCACCCCCATAGAGACTGCCATAGGTCCAGACAACAGGCCCTCCGATTTGACACATGGAACTCTATCTGAGAAGTAGTTGGTGAACCAGGCGAGGCAGCCATTTGAGAAACCAAGGCTATTTAGTCTGCCAATAAGAATGCGGTGGTTGACAGAGTCGAAAGCCTTGGCCAGGTCAATGAAGACGGCTGCACAGTACTGTCTATTATCGATCGTGGTTATAATATCGTTTAGGACCTTGAGCGTGGCTGAGGTGCACCCATGACCAGCTCGGAAACCGGATTGCATAGCGGAGAAGGTATGGTGTGATTCGAAATGGTCGGTGATCTGTTTGTTAACTTGGCTTTCAAAAACTTTCGAAGGGCAGGATGGATATAGGTCTGTAACAGTTTGGATCTAGAGTGTCACCCCCTTTGAAGAGGGGGATGACCGCGGCAGCTTTCCAATCTCTGGGGATCTCAGACGTTACGAAAGAGAGGTTGAACAGGATAGTAATAGGGGTTGCGACAATTCCGGCGGCTAATTTTAGAAAGAAAGGGTCCAGATTGTCTAGCCCAGATGATTTGTAGGGGTCCAGATTTTGCAGCTCTTTTAGAACATCAGCTGTCTGAATTTGTGTGAAGGAGAAGCGGGGGGGGGGCATGGGCAAGTTACAGCGGAGGGTGCAGAGCTGGTGGCCGGGGTAGTGGTAGCCAGGTGGAAAGCATGGCCAGCCGTAGCAAAATGCTTGTTGAAATTCTCGATTATTGTAGATTTATCGGTGGTGATAGTGTTTCCTAGCCTCAGTGCAGTGGGCAGCTGGGAGGAGGTGCTCTTATTCTCCATGGACTACTGACCAGGAGAGCAGAGGTCAGGCAAGGTGAAGGGTGGTTGTGTTTTATTGCTCAGACAGAGCACTGCTGAGGATCCAGTGATGCTCCCGTTAGGAGTCAGTCTCTCTGGCGTAACCTTGCCTTAAATCACAGGAGTTGACTGTAGAAAGCAGGCTTACTCCCAGTTTACCTGTTGGCATAAGTATTAAAGGGTGAAAGCTTTCTTCAATGCCTTTTTGTTGTTTGAAGGCACTTTGCAGAAATAGCTGTACTGTTGAACCGAGTGCATTAGCTAAGTTTTTGTGTGGTGAGTGAGGTTCCATTTGTGTGCAGCTTCTAAATGTGGAGGCTTTAAGGTAACGTTCACTTTAGATAGGACTGTTCAGCATTCTGAGTTGTAAATGTTATGACTACATGGCTGTATCTGATTTCACCTGAATCCCTTCAATGCTCTGGGAGACCGGCTTTAGCAAGGCTTTGTTTAGCATGATTTGTACAGGCATTTCAGTACCCTGGGGAGGGCAGGACAAATTAACAGGGAGATAAAGACTCAGGTACTGCATCTAAACTGGCTGTGTGTGTGGGCGTAAACCGGGGGGGGGGGGGGGGGGGGGGGGGGGGGGCTTCCTTGGACATTATTATGTTTATAAAAACCCAAATCCTGCTTTTGTTTCCTTTGGAAATCTCACCACGGGTCTGATATCACTATGGTGAAACAGCAGACAGTGTGGTGCCTGTGGCTCCCATCCGGATGGGGCTTTTCATCCAAAGTCAACCCATTCCCCTTCGTTGTCCTGCCTCGAGGCTTACAGGAGGGATACAGGTTGGGCTTCATGGCTTATTGTGTGTGTAAGGATCTCAATTTATCATCAGGAATAGATTTGGCACTTTTAACCTTCTATTCCCATTCATGTGTCTGTGTGAGTATGTATGTTTTATTTTTAATCCCAGCCCCCGTCCCCGCAGGAGGCCTTTTGCCTTTTGGTAGGCCATCATTGTAAATAAGAATTTGTTCTTAACTGACTTGCCTAGTTAAATAAAGGTTAAAAGTATGTGAGGCAGGGTGGAGTGACCGGGATAGAGAGAAGGGGAAGAAGTAAGTGCAGAGAAAAGAGAAAGAATGAGGATACAGGGTCCCCATTCCTCTCATGAACCCATGGCCCCTCTCTTCGTTTGATTGACAGTCTGTTTCCAGCTGTGGGTTCCACCATTTTGTAAAGAGCCAGTCCCGGTGGTCCCTGGAGTGATAGCTTAAAGGCAAACTGGATTAAGGCATTTCCCCTCGATAGACCACAGCTTCCAGTGAGGGAAAGGGAGCTACTCTACCCCCTCTCTCAATGTGCAGGTATTTAGGTGGCCAATGTTGACACATCTCAGAAATGATGGAATCAGTTCAGTTTTATTAGTCTTGCTTCCTTCATTTCCTAAACGAATTAATGGTGGGAAAAGCTTTTGGCTTCATATGCCCTGTTCTTGTGGGATGGTAGACAGAGATTTTTTCTTCTTCCCCTAAGTGAATTTAATCCATTGAAATGAAACTGCTGTATGGTATCCTTTTTTACTCATTTGTTTTGTGTATAAATATATACAATTTCCCCATATGCGCACACACACATACTGCACACACCCACATATACTTTTATTTTTATTTTCTTTGTTTATTATTACTACTTTTTTTAGGGGGTAGATCAGCTTTAATATTGCAGATAGATTGTAACTTCCATCAATGTAATTGTCTGCATCACTTCCAATCCCCCATATATATATATATATATATATATATATATATACAGTGGGGGAAAAAGTATTTAGTCAGCCACCAATTGTGCAAGTTCTCCCACTTAAAAAGATGAGAGAGGCCTGTAATTTTCATCATAGGTACAAGTCAACTATGACAGACAAATTGAGATTTTTTTCTCTCCAGAAAATCACATTGTAGGATTTTTAATGAATTTATTTGCAAATTATGGTGGAAAATAAGTATTTGGTCACCTACAAACAAGCAAGATTTCTGGCTCTCACAGACCTGTAACTTCTTCTTTAAGAGGCTCCTCTGTCCTCCACTCGTTACCTGTATTAATGGCACCTGTTTGAACTTGTTATCAGTATAAAAGACACCTGTCCACAACCTCAAACAGTCACACTCCAAACTCCACTATGGCCAAGACCAAAGAGCTGTCAAAGGACACCAGAAACAAAATTGTAGACCTGCACCAGGCTGGGAAGACTGAATCTGCAATAGGTAAGCAGCTTGGTTTGAATAAATCAACTGTGGGAGCAATTATTAGGAAATGGAAGACATAATCTCCCTCGATCTGGGGCTCCACGCAAGATCTCACCCCGTGGGGTCAAAATGATCACAAGAACGGTGAGCAAAAATCCCAGAACCACACGGGGGGACCTAGTAAATGACCTGCAGAGAGCTGGGACCAAAGTAACAAAGCCTACCATCAGTAACACACTACGCCGCCAGGGACTCAAATCCTGCAGTGCCAGACGTGTCCCCCTGCTTAAGCCAGTACATGTCCAGGCCCGTCTGAAGTTTGCTAGAGTGCATTTGGATGATCCAGAAGAGGATTGGGAGAATGTCATATGGTCAGATGAAACCAAAATATAACTTTTTGGTAAAATCTCAACTCGTTGTGTTTGGAGGACAAAGAATGCTGAGTTGCATCCAAAGAACACCATACCTACTGTGAAGCATGGGGGTGGAAACATCATGCTTTGGGGCTGTTTTTCTGCAAAGGGACCAGGACGACTGATCTGTGTAAAGGAAAGAATGAATGGGGCCATGTATCGTGAGATTTTGAGTGAAAACCTCCTTCCATCAGCAAGGGCATTGAAGATGAAACGTGGCTGGGTCTTTCAGCATGACAATGATCCCAAACACACCGCCCGGGCAACGAAGGAGTGGCTTCGTAAGAAGCATTTCAAGGTCCTGGAGTGGCCAAGCCAGTCTCCAGATTTTTCAACCCCATAGAAAATCTTTGGAGGGAGTTGAAAGTCCGTGTTGCCCAGCGACAGCCCCAAAACATCACTACTCTAGAGGAGATCTGCATGGAGGAATGGGCCAAAATACCAGCAACAGTGTGTGAAAACCTTGTGAAGACTTACAGAAAACGTTTGACCTGTGTCATTGCCAACAAAGGGTATATAACAAAGTATTGAGAAACTTTTGTTATTGACCAAATACTTATTTTCCACCATAATTTGCAAATACATTCATAAAAAATCCTACACTGTGATTTTCTGGATTTTTTTCTCTCATTTTGTCTGTCATAGTTGACGTGTACCTATGATGAAAATTACAGGCCTCTCTCATCTTTTTAAGTGGGAGAACTTGCACAATTGGTGGCTGACTAAATACTTTCCCCCCCACTGAATATATATATACAGTGGAGAGAACAAGTATTTGATACACTGCCGATATTGCAGGTTTTCCTACTTACAAAGCATGTAGAGGTCTGTAATTTTTATCATAGGTACACTTCAACTGTGAGAGACGGAATCTAAAACCAAAAATCCAGAAAATCACATTGTATGATTTTTAAGTAATTCATTTGCATTTTATTGCATGACATAAGTATTTGATCACCTACCAACCAGTAAGAACTCCGGCTCTCACAGACCTGTTAGTTTTTCTTTAAGAAGCCCTCCTGTTCTCCACTCATTACCTGTATTAACTGCACCTGTTTGAACTCGTTACCTGTATAAAAGACACCTGTCCACACACTCAATCAAACAGACTCCAACCTCTCCACAATGGCAAAGACCAGAGAGCTGTGTAAGGACATCAGGGATACAATTGTAGACCTGCACAAGGCAGGGATGGGCTACAGGACAATAGGCAAGCAGCTTGGTGAGAAGGCAACAACTGTTGGCGCAATTATTAGAAAATGGAAGAAGTTCAAGATGACGGTCAATCACCCTCGGTCTGGGGCTCCATGCAAGATCTCACCTCGTGGGGCATCAATGATCATGAGGAAGGTGAGGGATCAGTCCAGAACTACACGGCAGGACCTGGTCAATGACCTGAAGAGAGCTGGGACCACAGTCTCAAAGAAAACCATTAGTAACACACTATGCCGTCATGGATTAAAATCCTGCAGCGCACGCAAGGTCCCCCTGCTCAAGCCAGCGCATGTCCAGGCCCGTCTGAAGTTTGCCAATGACCATCTGGATGATCCAGAGGAGGAATGGGAGAAGGTCATGTGGTCTGATGAGACAAAAATAGAGCTTTTTGGTCTAAACTACACTCGAAGTGTTTGGAGGAAGAAGAAGGATGAGTACAACCCCAAGAACACCATCCCAACCGTGTAGCATGGAGGTGGAAACATCATTCTTTGGGGATGCTTTTCTGCAAAGGGGACAGGACGACTGCACCATATTGAGAGGAGGATGGATGGGGCCATGTATCGCGAGATCTTGGCCAACAACCTCCTTCCCTCAGTAAGAGCATTGAAGATGGGTCGTGGCTGGGTCTTCCAGCATGACAACGACCCGAAACACACAGCCAGGGCAACTAAGGAGTGGCTCCGTAAGAAGCATCTCAAGGTCCTGGAGTGGCCTAGCCAGTCTCCAGACCTGAACCCAATAGAACATCTTTGGAGGGAGCTGAAAGTCCGTATTGCCCAGCGACAGCCCCGAAACCTGAAGGATCTGGAGGTCTGTATGGAGGAGTGGGCCAAAATCCCTGCTGCAGTGTGTGCAAACCTGGTCAAGACCTACAGGAAACGTATGATCTCTGTAATTGCAAACAAAGGTTTCTGTACCAAATATTAAGTTCTGCTTTTCTGATGTATCAAATACTTATGTCATGCAATAAAATGCAAATTAATTACTTAAAAATCATACAATGTGATTTTCTGGATTTTTGTTTTAGATTCCGTCTCTCACAGTTGAAGTGTACCTATGATAAAAATTACAGACCTCTACATGCTTTGTAAGTAGGAAAACCTGCAAAATCGGCAGCGTATCAAATACTTGTTCTCCCCACTGTATATATATGTACATTTACATCATTTAGCAGACGCTCTTATCCAGAGCGACTTACAAATTGGTGCATTCAACTTATGATAGCCAGTGGGACAACCACCTTTTTTTTGTCATTTTTTTTTATGGGGGTGGAGGAAGAAGGATTACTTTATACTATTCCAGGTATTCCTTAAAGAGGTAGGGTTTCAAGTGTCTCCGGAAGGTGGTTAGTGACTCCGCTGTCCTGGTGTCGTGGGTGAGCTTGTTCCACCATTGGGGTGCCAGAGCAGCGAATAGCTTTGACTGGGCTGAGCGGGAACTGTGCTTTGTAGAGGTAGGGGAGCTAGCAGGCCAGAGGTGGATGAACGTAGTGCCCTCGTTTGGGTGTAGGGTCTGATCAGAGCCTGAAGGTAAGGAGGTGCCGTTCCCCTCACAGCTCCGTAGGCAAGCACCATGGTCTTGTAGTAGATGCAAGCCTCAACTGGAAGCCAGTGGAGTGTGCGGAGGAGCGGGGTGACATGAGAGAACTTGGGAAGGTTGAACACCAGACAGGCTACAGCGTTCTGGATAAGTTGTAGGGGTTTAATGGCATAGGCAGGGAGCCCAGCCAACAGCGAGTTGCAGTAATCCAGATAGAGATGACAAGTGCCTGGATTAGGACCTGTGCCGCTTTCTGTGTAAGGTAGGGTCGTACTCTGCAAATGTTGTAGAGCATGAACCTGCAGGATCGGGTCACCGCTTTGATGTTAGCGGAGAACGACAGGGTGTTGTCCAGGGTCACGCCAAGGTTCTTTGCACTCTGGGAGGAGGACACAATGGAGTTGTCAATCGTGATGGCGAGATCATGGAGCGGGCAGTCCTTCCCCGGGAGGAAGAGCAGCTCTGTCTTGCCGAGGTTCAGCTTGAGGTGGTGAGCCGACATCCACACTGATATGTCTGCCAGACATGCAGAGATGCGATTCACCACCTGGTTATCAGAAGGGGGAAAGGAGAAAATTAATTGTGTGTCGTCTGCGTAGCAATGATAGGAGAGACATACATACATATAAATACATACATATATATATATATATATACATATCCTAGACTCAGGACTGTTAGAATCCTCAACCACCATCCAGTCTGTCCACTATCAATATGTACAGTATTCATTTCATGTCCATGACTATGCAGCACATCTGACTATACAGCTGCAGTTTGACCTCACACATCTGTAGCTTGCCTGCACATCTGTGTCGTTATAATAGAGTTATAGCCATACTGAGTGCAGAGCTCAGGTCTGACTTTACACTGCTGTAGCATTCTGACTATAGCCTGACTGCATGGTTCCTGGTTGGACGTAGTTGACCTGCATTCCTGCACTGCTAGTGCTTCTTGTTGGGACTCTGCCATAGGCAGACACAGATGTCTCTGGGATGTTCTTGCTTCCATGAGAACACACCTGCAGCATTTGGGAATAGGAGACAGGCTTATCGGTCATCTGTCACGTTGCTCCATGTGAAATGAAGAAGATGGTGCTGTATGGTCAAAGTTTGCCTTGTAACAGTTTTGTGAACCCAACAGGCTAAATTGAAAGCTGACTGTCACAGTAATCTGATTTGGGGGGAAATAAGCGGCTCATACTAAAAATTGTTTTCTTTTAAAGATTGTTTTCTTTTTTCCAAAGAGGCGGTTTCAACTGAAATGCCAAGGTGTAAGGTTTGTTTAACAAAGCCTGTTTTAGTGAATAAAACAATCTGATCCCAGAAATAGGGTCTTGGAACATAAGTCACTGAATGTTGTCATACTTCAATATAGACATTTGTAATGGAGCCTAAGACAGGGTAGTTGGAGAGGTTAATGTAGAATGTGCCTTTAGGCAGCTAATAAAAAATAACATGTTTTAATGTCACATACACCACCGGATAGGTGCAGTGAAATGGGTTGTTTTAGACATCTGATTTAAGCAAGTGTTTTTCATTAGGCATTTTCATTGTGTTCCAGCTTACTTTATTTTATACCAAGTAGATATTCTAGGTTTTAGTTTTGCCTCTGATGTAGGATATTCATAAACTTCACCCATATCTTTTGATTGGCAGCTGAAAATTATAAATTATAAATAAACAAACATAGGCTATCGATTGTGCCACGCCAGCGCCGTACGTTGAACCCTGTGTCATGAGCTAAGAAAAGTGTTGAAATGCCTCACAGAGAGAAGTTTGCATATCTGAGGGCTGATCTCTGGAGCTAATGGTCCCTAATGTAAACACACCAAGACCTTACGAGCAATTATTGCCTTCATAAAAACGCCCTGGTTTCTTTCCAACGTTTAACAAATGACTAGCAGGGTTCAGAATGCTCTTCTTTACAGTGTGTGTGTGGTTAAAAGTAGTTTTCTGGGCTTTAAGGCGTTGGGTGCATGTGTGCTGCATTACGTTTTGTGTGTGTGTATGTGTTATTCGGTCCTGAAACAATACCAAGGCACCAGTGAGACAGACGTATGATGTCATGGGGGCTGCTAGTGGGCAGGATGTGTTTAAGATGGGTAATCATCGCTCCACTCTGCACACCTCCAGTGTGGGAAGTCCCCCGTTGCTCCGGAGACTTCCACCAAGCTTTCCAAGGACAAACACATTGGGTAACGCTGTAAAAACACAGCGCTGGAAACCTCCAGGAAATCTTTGGCTCTGCCCCACCACCATTATTGTGGAAACTCTGAGAGTGGCTCAGCTGTTTCAGGGCAGGGTGGGACACCGTGGATCTCAGTGGTGGCCCTGCAAAAGGCTCATTTTAACTGTTTGGACTCCATTTTTACATCAGGCCTAGCCTACTCTCAGAAAACCCATTCACATAAATGCTCTATTATCATTCCCCCCCCCCCCAGAGTCTAGTACTTAATGTATAGTGGTTAAATGTATTCTCCTATAGTGAAGTGGATTATGGATAACATATTGAGGATTATGACATTTATGATCATAGTGTTTCTGCATAGTGTTGGCTGCTGTGGTTTTCCGGGCTGTGCTTTAACGGGGCTTTTCTTGTGGTCAGCACATGTGTGTAATTTAAACATGGAGCCAAATTGAGCCTTGAGTGTGGTTTCTCTTAACCCCCCCTCATGGAAGCAGGAGTTTCCTATTTTTGACACAGTGCTTCTGAGATGTGGGCGAAGCAATGTGAATCAGAAGACTTTGATTCAGCAACAGTTTTGGCAGAATTAAGCCACCACCTGGCTGCTGATCTGAGTGTATTCACAGCAGAGTGTATTGGTACACATACATCCCCACTGTTTCAAAAGACCAGGGGATATGGGGAGAAAAGGGATGTGCCTTTAACTCTCCAGGGTCAGTGTTAGTTGTGCAGCTCATAATGGGTGAGGTTAGCTGTTGGAAAAAGCTGATCCGGGATCAGTTGGTATGGGTAGTGAGTAACCCCTTTTCTCCCCCATCCTCTCTCTAGTTGAGCTGGATCAGGACGTCCTGTCTTCTCGGCACAACAGGGAATTCCGCTTTGACTTGTCCCGGATCCCAGAGGGAGAAGCTGTCTCCACTGCAGAGTTCAGAATCTACAAGGACTACATCAGAGAACACTATGAGAACGAGACCTTCCATGTGAGTGTGTACCAGGTGCTACAGGAGCTCCCTGACAGGTGACGCCTCTTCCATTCATCTTTGTGTGTGTGGCCTTATAAAACTGTAAACTACTCCCTAAAACTGCAGAGACCCACCTTGACCATATAGAACACCCTGTCAAACACCACCCTCACTCCCCACACCTCCATCATTCACTTAATCTCCCTTCTCTAATACCTAGCAACCCCCCCCCCCCCCCCCTCCCCCTCCCTCCACCCAACCTCTCTCTTCTTGGCCACACTACACGTTTTGATTGTAGTGAACAATAGTTTGATTTGTCCACCTAGGAAAAACACCTCCTCCCTCCAACACACATACACACACACACAGCTTGTCCTGCTAGGTGACATCAGAGCCCAGTCATGTGTAGGCATGGCCTGTCCCACAGCGGTGACAGTGAGGCTATGTCGGTGCTAAGAACAACACCATTGTCATTCAGAGACACACATGCCTTCCATACAGACAACAAGGAGGCAAGACAAAGAGACAGTCTGAGTTGTGGGCCTGGGGGCCTGAAACTCAATCTGTAAATAAATCCATTGTCTGTGAGGTCTGCCCCAGAGCTGTGATATCTGCTTCAATCAGTCTGGGAATTTTCATCTGTGATAAAGATAGCTCTTTTAATAATGGCTATCGGTGGGGTTAGATCGACACTGCATGTCATCTCTTGTTTTGGATTTACTGTATCCTGGGTTCTCTCTGGGTGGCTAATCTCTACTGTCTCTGCTATTTATTGGAATACGTATCGGCTATCTAGATCAACTTTTATATACAGTTGAAGTCGGAAGTTTACATACACCTTAGCCAAATACATTTAAAATCAGTTTTTCACAATTCCTGACATTTAATACTAGCAAACATTCCTTGTCTTAGGTCAGTTAGGATCACCACTTTATTTTAAGAATGTGAAATGTCAGAATAACAGTAGAGAGAATGATTTATTTCAGCTTTTATTTCTTTCATCACATTCCCAGTGGGTCAGAAGTTTACATACACTCAATTAGTATTTGGTAGCATTGCCTTTAAATTGTTTAACTTGGGTCAAACGTTTCGGGTAGGCTTCCACAAGCTTCCCACAATAAGTTGGGTGAATTTTGGCCCATTCCTCCAGACAGAGCTGGTGTAACTGAGTCAGGTTTGAAGGCCTCCTTGCTCGCACACGCTTTTTCAGTTCTGCCCACAAATGTTCTATAAGATTGAGGTCAGGACTTTGTGATGGCCACTCCAATACCTTGACATTGTTTTCCTTAAGCCATTTTGCCACAACGTTGGAAGTATGCTTGGGGTCATTGTCCATTTGGAAGACCCATTTGCGACCAAGCTTTAACTTCCTGACTGATGTCTTGAGATGTTGCTTCAATATATCCACATAATTTTCCTTCCTCATGATGCCATCTATTTTGTGAAGTGCACCAGTCCCTCCTGCAGCAAAGCACCCCCACAGCATGATGCTGCCACCTCCGTGCTTCACGGTTGGGATGGTGTTCTTCGGCTTGCAAGCCTTCTCCTTTTTCCTCCAAACATAACGATGGTCATTATGGCCAAACAGTTCTATTTTCACTGGAATTGTGATACAGTGAATTATAAGTTAAATAATCTCTCTGTAAACAATTGTTGGAAAAATTACTTGAGTCATGCACAAAGTAGATGTCCTAACCGACTTGCCAAAACTATAGTTTGTTAACAAGAAATGTGTGGAGTGGTTGAAAAACGAGTTTTAATGACGGCACTACATAGCAGCATCACAAACTGCCACTGAGGAGACTGGTTTGAAATTCAATGTGAAGTGTCAACGCTATACGTTTATCCAGATTTGAGGCAACTGATGTTAGAATTTAGAATAACACACTTCCTAGGTCTGTAACTCTTTGTTGTGTATCTGAGACTGTATGTGCTGTGTATCTAATGTTAGTAGTCAATCTGCCCCTCAGTGAGGAGGATCTGCTCCTGCTGGACACGCGGGTGGTGTGGGCTATAGAGGAAGGCTGGCTGGTGTTTGACATTACAGGCACCAGTAACCAGTGGGTGGTGAACCTGGACCAGAACCTGGGCCTGCTGCTGGCTCTGGAGAGCATGGACGGTGAGTCACTATCATAGAGTTATAAGAGTACTGTATGGCCGCTGGTCCAACAGAGATAGATCTCTAGGGCTGGTACACCAACCACATAACATTGAATTGAAAAATACCAATATGTACCCTGGACTGACATGTGCATGTCTTTCTGTCTCCCTCTACAGGCCAGAGTGTGAACCCCAGGCTAGTGGGGCTGGTGGGGGGCAGTGGGCCACAGGACAAGCAGCCCTTCATGGTGGCCTTCTTTAAGGCAACCGAGGTTCGCCTCCGCAGCATCCGCTCTGCCCACGGCCACAAGGGGCGCAACCCCAACCGCTCTAAAAACCCCAAGAATGCCCAGGACGCACTGAAGGTTGCTGAGGCTGCAGCAGGTACACAAATTACCCACTTGGAGGAGAATAAGTCAGTCAACATTTTATAAACTTGCAAACTTCATATTCAGTCTATGAATAATATTTAACAAGGAACACCTCTATTATACAGTGTTTAAGTGACAGTGATCACAGTTGATTGTGTTGATTAATCTGTATGTTGTTAATTTACCCCTTTGTCTTCAGAGAACCTCAGCACAGACCCGAAACAGGGCTGTAAGAAGCATGAGCTGTATGTCAGCTTCAGAGATCTGGGATGGCAGGTACAGTAATATGATGACTCCTATCACACAGGTCCTGATAGCTCTGTTCTGTACTGTAATGATCAGAGCACATCCTCCTCTTTCTCTATTCACCCACTTAGATATGAGTTTGACTTCAATAGATTCAATATGACATTATCTCCATCTCACATTTGTTGGATATTGTTATGAGTCATTTCTTTTTTCAATTGTCCCCTCAGGACTGGATCATTGCACCCGAGGGCTATGCAGCGTACTACTGCCAGGGCGAATGCGCCTTTCCCCTCAACTCCTACATGAACGCCACCAATCATGCCATTGTGCAGACTCTGGTAAGAATATTTATAGTTTTCATATTATCATATACATTTCTGAGGGGGTTGAATATGGCATTTTCTCAGGGTTTCACTGTAGGGTCTCTAACTTTAAATTGTACATTACTTTCAGAAAAAAAAAAAAAAATCAAAACACTCTTTGATGTCCTGCATCCTGTAAAGAAAACGGCTAAAATATCAACGCACGTTTCCCCCCACTCTTGAATCTTTCTGATTGTGCATGATTTCCCTAATAACGGTGCTCTATTCTATCCCCCCCAGGTCCACTTCATAAACCCAGAGACAGTGCCCAAACCCTGCTGTGCCCCCACCCAGCTCCACGGCATCTCAGTCCTCTACTTTGACGACAGCTCCAATGTCATTCTGAAGAAGTACCGGAACATGGTGGTCAGAGCCTGCGGCTGTCACTGACCGCCATCAGACTTCCTCTTCTCAGGATACACTGGGGCTAGTGGAGGAAGATGAGGAAGAGGAGGAAATGGGGATTATGCAGGAAAACTCATTTATTGCCTGATCTATAGGGACCTGCTGCTTCAGGACTGGCAGGAAGACCAACTGCCTGTATTATTGGCTGCAAACTGACAAGTACTAGCAATATTGCCCTAGCAGTAGAGACATACTGCCCTAGCCCAACTGCAAAGAAGATCTTTGGCATCTGGATGGTCTCCACTACATGGTGCATTAAAGGTAGGGACAAGGCTGCTCGTCTAGAGACTGCAGAATAAGTCCCAGTCAGTACCATGGATGAATGAAACATCACAGACACTGAACTGTCATCCATTTATTTTTAAGCTAATTTTACTTAAGTGAACAAAGAAAGGAAAGTATTGATGAATACTAAAAGATAGCCCCCTGGACAGAGGCATGAGACTCAAATGAAATGCTAAAGATGCTCAAAAACGGAGCAAAATTGAGAATTGAGCAATTGCTTGTTTATCCATGAGTAGACATTTTAAGATGTGTCTTTGAACAAGATAAATCATGTTTGGACTTGAGTTCTGCTGTGTGCACTCAGCGCCTCTGTGTAAAACGATTGCTGAATACATTTTTTGCATCTGATAGCATTAAACGGTCTCTAAAAACGTGTTTACTTTGACATGTTTCTTTTTTTACAGCATAGTTCATTTTTTCAACAAACAGCTGGGTCTACTTAGATTTTGATGAGAACAAAATGGCTGTCTGTTTCTCCTTTGAACAGCATGTAGGTGATGGTGTATTTTGCGGAGCGGAGGTCAGGTGTAAGACATCTGGCTGTCTGTGTGCAGATTCAGAGGCTGCTGCTGTGAGGGATGGCAGAGCTGACGGTTAATACGAGACTGTGTGGGATTGATAGAGCATGCCCTGTTGGGTTGAGTTTCCTGGAGGAGGTGGCACAGACATATATCACCAAGCTCTGCACAGCACAAGAGAGGCATGTGGTCCCAGAGATGCCAATGGTTTTGCCCACAAGAGACAGAGAGAACTCTGAACTATCACTCTGTTTCAGCTTCCCTTTGATGTCCTTCCAGACCTGCAGGTGGGTGATCAAGGCCTTATTTTCTGCAAAAACTAAATGTCAGATTACAGCAACAAAATGCACAGAAACTCTCATAGACATAGCAGGTGCAATACATTTATATCACTTGGCCAGAAAAGCATTTTCTCACACACTGACAACCAAAACATGGTAACTGAAAACGTTGATGGTTTATGTATAATCTATCATAGGCTCTATAAGCATATGTATATAAATATTGTAAACATCAGCTGGTGAGGTAAAGCATAGTAAATGTAGCCTACTTTAGGGCTCTATTCAATCTGTATCGCTGAAGCGTTACAGATTGCGTGCTAGAAATGTCATACCCCCAAGACATGCTAACCATTTTTTTAAATGTAGAAGTGTTTAGAAAAATATTATATTCTTATTTACAATAAAAGTTACTCCAAAATGACACAAAACATTATTTACCATTCATGTCTATTGGGCACAAAATAATCTGAAACACAACCAAAACAAACAGCAAATGCATTCAACAAATGTGTAGAGTCACAAGCTTGATGTAGTCATTGTGTGCTATGAATATAGGACCAAATACTTAACTTTTTACTACTTTAGTACACATACTTTATAAGTGAATTTGTCCCCTAAAATGGGGGGACTATGTACAAAAAGCACTGTAATTTCTTAACGGTTCACCCGATATGGATGAAAATACCCTCAAATTAAAGCTGACAGTCTGCACTTCAACCTCATAGTCATTGTATCATTTCAAATCCAAAGTGCTGGAATACAGAGACAAAAAAAATGTCACTGTCTTAATACATTTGGAGCTCACTGTATGCAGCATTTACTGTGAATGCAGTCTCTGCTAACGCGGAACATTGCCTTTAAATTTTTATCACGCTGTAACGCTGAATTTCTGCCATACGGATTGAATAGAGCCCTTCAACATGTTTTATTTCTTAATCAACACAAATATTTCAATTAGAATTTCAGAACATAAATGATTGTCAAACCGTTGCAAGAGTTGAGGTAAAAGGACAGCCCGGACCCCAATGAAGGGCACCTAGTGCATAATGTAATGCCAACAACTGTCAACTATACAACACACAGGGAGCCATTCACACTCACTGGGGCATACTTCAACATTCACTGTTCTACATACAGAAATCAGTTCTGTCAATTAAAGTGGCTAATATAGAGGTAGCAGAGAATAACATGTATTTCCCCTGAATGATCTTATTGATAAAATTAGGAATGTTAATGTTTTCAAGTTTTAATAATATTGGGTGACACCTTTAAAATTGCATTTCTAGAGTTGGCTAAAGGTAATATATTCTGCATGATATATTCTCTCTCACATCCCTGATAATCCATAGCTTTCAGACCAATACCGGCAATGGTCCTCTGCTTAGTATCCAGAATCCTGAGAGTCAAATCTATATTTCTTTCCTCCTTGATCATAATTCATCTTTATATAAAACAGACAAGCGGAAACGAGCCAAAGACAGCCACGAAGACAGGGATGGAAAGAGTGTGAGGTTGAGATAAAGAAAAGAAAACTAAAGTTAGGCTTTGCTGGCTCCCTTTCCATATGGTAGCGGTGTTTATCAGTACGGGCAGTTGGTGCCTGGGCCACGCAGCTCAGGGGCTGACCAACGCCTCTTCCGTGCTGGGTCCAGCCCCCCTCTCTGCCCTGCTGTTGGCCTATCTGGAGCAGGGGGAAGGGGAGCCTGGGGGCAGGAAGTTTGCAGGGGCTTAGGCCCTCTAGCTGGGGTGCCAGGACCCTGGGGTTGGGTGGGTGGGGGTACGGAGGGTGATGTGGGTATGAGAGCCAAGCAGACGTCACCCACACTAAGCTGGTGGCAGCGGAGGCCACAAAGACGGGCTGTTCTCTGGGGACAGCAGGAGGACCAGCCACGCCCGCGCACAAAGAATGGGTACTCCACATACACATCCAGGAACTCCTGTGGGAAGAAATACTGTTAGTCACAGTGCAGTACCTCTGTTTGTCTACTAAAGTGGTGTTAGTGTTCTGCAATTGATGTGTGCATAGTGTCGTAATGAGGGATACTGTAGGAATGTTTTTCATTTGCATTTAGAGTTACTCCTCAAGAAGTATACTATTTGCAAATATGTATGATATCTTGTATATTTAATTCCATGTTATAAATTATGGAAATGTCAGTAGACAAACACACAATGACAAAAAACACATTGACCCTGTTATGAGCTTATGTGATGTAATGATGTAGTAGGATCAGGCCCAGCTCACCTGAGAGTGTTCCTCCTGTAGGAGGATGAGGAGGCGGGAGAGGGAGGGGGCTGTGGAGAGGGAAATGTGCTGCACAGTGCAGCAGCTCAGACGCAGCTCTGGACAAGCCTCCGCGCCGATTAGGAAGTCTTCTGTCTGCAAATCCTCCACCCTCCTCAGCCGCCCGTCTTTGAGCTCGATTAGAGAGCCTGCCGCAAAGTGAGAGAGCAACCAGGGCAGCTGGTCAGAAGAGGGGGAAGGGTAGGAAGAGTGATGGGAGGAGAGAGGTGGAGACACTCCTACTTTTTCTGTTACTCCCATGTTCCAATATTTCTCTGTTGATTGATCAATAAGTGATGGTCTTATGGGAGATTGTGCCTCAAACTCCAAAGGACTTTGCCCTGAAGCATGGTACTTGGAGGCTGTGGAGAGGTGTGTGTAGACCAGTTCAGGGTGGTGGTGTAGGTCCCTGTAGGCAGTAGGAGATAGAGCAGTGTTCAGGGGGGCAGAACCTGTCCCTGAGCTGGGTCGTGGCTTGTGGCCCCCCTGTTTCCTTCTTCTCATATACGGGCCCCTCTGTCTGCTTTGCTGTGCGGTGTGTGGACTTAACTTCTCTCTCACTTTTTTATTAAGGTGCCATCTGTACCGGGCTTCCACCCCACTGGGCTCCTCTGTAGGCTGGGCCATGTGTCTGCAGATAGAGGGGTGTTGTGGGTATTCTGAGGGGTGCGTGGAGGGGTGATGGGGAATGTAGGGAACATCCCACCCTGAGGGCCCTGCAGCCCAATCTCTGTAATAGTGCTCCCTCCACTCAGCCCAGCCATAGCTATCCCTGACAGGAGAGGGGAGAAAGGAGTTGACTCTGTTGGTGGAGGCTGTGGTTGGGGACTGGGTCCAGGGCTGGTATAGCGGGGGCACAGATGCAGGTGTAGGTGGGAGCAGGTCTGAGTAAGATGCATTGTAGGGCTTGGCTTCATTATGGCTCTTGTAGGGGAAGGGGACCTTGAATGTGACAGCAGAAGGCTGCTCTGAGAGGCCTGGTCTGGGGTCCCTCTTCTTGGGCGGGAGACTCTCTCTGCCTAGGCCTGTCTCTGGGGATGGTGTGGTGCTCATTGGTTCACCCAGCCGTCACATATACTGACACTTTTGTTCCCTGGCCTACAGGTTGTTGTGGAGAGGTTAAGTCACATAGGCCTCCTGTGAAAGAGGCAGGCTAAGGGATCCCGTCACTCTCTGGTGAAGCATCACTGACAGAGAGGTCAAAGGTGGTTTGAGTCTCAATGCTCCAGTCTGAAAAAAGACAGGAAGGTGTTTGTTTGACATAGATGATAATTTAACCCTCATCCTTATGTCAAAAGCACAAGAGGAAGGTACACCAAGATCATTTTGTACATTTCATAGCCTTATATTACAGGCTTTTCAGCTTCAAGTAATGTGACTTTTGATGATGCATTTCACAAACCATACTTCACTACGTACTCTCACGATGCCCTCTCTCTCTCATATCCCTCTTTCTCTCTCTATCTTTAACATCTGCTCCATAAGTGATAGACAGAACCTTTCTCTGCCAGTTATCCCTTTCTCTCTTAGACCCCTGTGGAGTTACAGATGGTGACTATGCCCTTGAAATCTCATCACTAATTTCTCCATCGCCTCCAAATTAGAGCCTTTCAAACCCCAGACTGCTGCATTGTGATTGACAGCTGAAGTCTGGCTCACTAGAACACTAAACTTTAACCAGATCTACTTCGGAAGAAGTTACTATGGTAACACAGTATAGTACTGTACATGTGCATACTGTGGGAAAAGGGGAGATGAGGGGAGGTGTTGCACAGGGGTGCTGTGCTTTCCAACACTAACGACAAATATAATTTTCATGAAAACATGGGATGTCATTGATTTGAACATCAACAGGAGTTATTCATGTTGCTGTAGCTAACCTACTATGCAGCACAGCAACAAAATGCATAATGTATTCATGTGAATCTGAGCAAAATACATGCAGATAAAACTGTTATACTTCTCAATATTATATGCACTCTAAAATTACCTTATATAGAAATTTAGCTTAACCTTGCATTTCCTCTATATGGCCCATATCATAAAGATATTTCACAATGCACACGCTTGCCAGTAGTTTACCTATTCAAATCTACATGCTCTTTATTGAAATGATTTGACCGAGAGCCTGAAGGGAAGTTACAGAGCAAGACTTTACGGTGCAATCTTATGCAAAGCTAAAGCCAAGGCCTGAATGGTGTCATCACACCACCGCAGAGCAGTCACCAGCTCCCTTGATTGCTGAATGATGCTCTTTCACTCTGACTGACAGACGTGTCTCACAAGTATGAGGTATAGCTTGGATCACACCTTCCATTGTGTGTACAGAGTAGATGACCTCATAAGACCGGGACAGAATACACCTTCAAATGGAGAAACATTCCTAACACAGAGGGCTGGACTGACAGAGGCCAATCATTGGGCAAAAACTCACAGCAGCAGACTGGTAGTATGGCCTACAAAGGATATCAATTCACCTCACCTTGCTGTGCATGTCAAACTACAACTATGTACAGTGGGGAAAAAAAGTATTTAGTCAGCCACCAATTGTGCAAGTTCTCACACTTAAAAAGATGAGAGAGGCCTGTAATTTTCATCATAGGTACACGTCAACTATGACAGACAAATTGAGATTTTTTTTCTCCAGAAAATCACATTGTAGGATTTTTAATGAATTTATTTGCAAATTATGGTGGAAAATAAGTATTTGGTCACCTACAAACAAGCAAGATTTCTGGCTCTCACAGACCTGTAACTTCTTCTTTAAGAGGCTCCTCTGTCCTCCACTCGTTACCTGTATTAATGGCACCTGTTTGAAGTTGTTATCAGTATAAAAGACACCTGTCCACAACCTAAAACAGTCACACTCCAAACTCCACTATGGCCAAGACCAAAGGACACCAGAAACAAAATTGTAGACCTGCACCAGGCTGGGAAGACTGAATCTGCAATAGTTAAGCAGCTTGGTTTGAATAAATCAACTGTGGGAGCAATTATTAGGAAATGGAAGACATACAAGACCACTGATAATCTCCCTCGATCTGGGGCTCCACGCAAGATCTCACCCCGTGGGGTCAAAATGATCACAAGAACGGTGAGCAAAAATCAGAGAACCACACGGGGGGACCTAGTGAATGACCTGCAGAGAGCTGGGACCAAAGTAACAAAGCCTACCATCAGTAACACACTACGCCGCCAGGGACTCAAATCCTGCAGTGCTAGACGTGTCTCCCTGCTTAAGGCAGTACATGTCCAGGCCCGTCTGAAGTTTGCTAGAGTGCATTTGGATGATCCAGAAGAGGATTGAGAGAATGTCATATGGTCAGATGAAACCAAAATATAACTTTTTGGTAAAATCTCAACTCGTCGTGTTTGGAGGACAAAGAATGCTGAGTTGCATCCAAAGAACACCATAACTACTGTGAAGCATGGGGGTGGAAACATCATGCTTTGGGGCTGTTTTTCTGCAAAGGGACCAGGACGACTGATCCGTGTAAAGGAAAGAATGAATGGGGCCATGTATCGTGAGATTTTGAGTGAAAACCTCCTTCCATCAGCAAGGGCATTGAAGATGAAACGTGGCTGGGTCTTTCAGCATGACAATGATCCCAAACACACTGCCCGGGCAACGAAGGAGTGGCTTCGTAAGAAGCATTTCAAGGTCCTGGAGTGGCCTAGCCAGTCTCCAGATCTCAACCCCATAGAAAATCTTTGGAGGGAGTCGAAAGTCCGTGTTGCCCAGTGACAGCCCCAAAACATCACTGCTCTAGAGGAGATCTGCATGGAGGAATGGGCCAAAATACCAGCAACAGTGTGTGAAAACCTTGTGAAGACTTACAGAAAACGTTTGACCTGTGTCATTGCCAACAATTGGTATATAACAAAGTATTGAGAAACTTTTGTTATTGACCAAATACTTATTTTCCACCATAATTTGCAAATAAATTCATTAAAAATCCTACAATGTGATTTTCTGGATTTTTTTTTCTCATTTTGTCTGTCATAGTTGACGTGTACCTATGATGAAAATTATAGGCCTCTCTCATCTTTTTAAGTGGGAGAACTTGCACAATTGATGGCTGACTAAATACTTTTTTGCCCCACTGTACATGTAATCTTCATACAGTGTGTGTAGGTGTGCTGTTGTATGTACTCAATTGTGTTACTTTTAGTGGAATAGTAATTGCTGTAAAAGTCCTGAAACATACTTTTATTTTTGTATCATTATCTATGTGCAGAGATCTTTTTCTCAAGCAACACATTTCCAAGTTACAAATTACACCCCACAATATAACTGGTCATATCACATTATGTAAGTTCTGACTGATGTGAAACCTAATGATCTAGATGGGTTAGATGCATTTTATCACTGATGCAATATTATTGCTATTGAGTTTTTACCACTTGGTGTAAATGTAACACCTCAACCGTAACATCAAATAAATTCCATACATATCTAATGACCACAAGGGAGATGTATACAGGCAATGAATACCTTCCTCCCACACACTTACACACATATTATCACATTCACTAGATACATCTGAACACTTGACGCCTTACCTCTCTCTTCTGGTGAAGGTGTGAGTCTTTAGTACAGCATGCTGCAGAGTGAATGAGAACATCCAGACAGCCTCACTATGTCTATCAGACAGACGCACTCTCTCTTTTTCCTCCCACTCTCTTTTACACCCCCACTATCTCTAGCCCTCTCGACATATCTAACAGATTTGCTGTGCCCTCTCCTTCCCTCCTTCCCTCACTTCCTCTTTGTTTCTCTGTCTCTTTCTCTGTTTCTAGCTCAGTCTTGACTCCTTCTCCCTTCCTTTTTCTTTCCTTTTCACAACCCTCTCTCTCTCTCCCTTCTCTCTGGTTTCTGACTATCTCTCTTCCCGTCCCATTTCTCTCCCCGTCCCTCTCTCTCCTTCCCTCTCTCTCCTTCCCTCTCTCTGGGTGTATAATTAGACATGAGACCGCTGTGATACTCGTCAGCTGATAGTAGGCGTATGGCTGCCTGATGGGCTTGGCACTCTGCCCAGTTGGGGTGAGGGCGGGAAACTATAGCTTAGAATGTTCTGGGCATTACACATCTTTAGCTTTCATGCCTGTTCAACCAACTGGAATGCAAAACCTTCAAGGGGATATATAGGAAGACACATTCTGAAAATGAAATCCCATTCTGAAAATACATCCGTTGGCTTCACATTTATTGCAATTCTCTGTTGTTGAAAATTACTACAGTGAATTCTCACTACCCACTTCTCTATTACTCAATTTTACTCTATTACTTCTCTATTACTGTGAACACCAACAGTCGTCTCTTAATTTTCTCATTGCTGCCTATGTAGAATACATATCCGAGCCCCTGAACCAAATGCCAGACAGTGTGAATGTCAGTAAAGTTAGAAATTATCAGCCTTAATTGCTTTCTATTCAGCAGTTAAAAGGAGCAGTATCTAGACCTAGATACATTCAGAACAGACACCATTTTTGAACTCAGGACACAAAACATATGTTCCCTCTTTTACTATCCTTCTTTCTCTCCTCTCTTTGTATTTCTATTCAGCCCTACTCTCTCATTCTACAGAATAAAAAGTGATCATGGCCCTTGATTCAAGCATCTCCCATCAATAGGAAAGCAATCTGATTTACAGCTGGCTCCAGATGCCCCATGCTCTGCAGGGTGAAACCCCAGTCATGATGAAGCCCACACACACACATTAGAGATAGGTGAAAAGAGCTTCTCATTTTGAGTCACATCATTCTTCCTCTGCCCACACACACTCTCTCAGACAGTACAGGACATGTCAAGGGTTAAAGCTGGAGGAGTCACTACCACAACCAACACTTCTCTGACATTTAGGAAGATCACTGTTGATACAAATCAACGTATCTTCTTCTCACTCCCACGTCCTCCAGACAACCATTAGCATATACATGCATCTGCAGTCAGTAGCTTACATCTGCACCCATGCATGGATGCCAAGACTTGTTATTGTTAAGGTTTCCACTCATGTACAAAGACAGATAGTTATTCATACGTCCTTCCCCTC